TTATATCTTTTATACTTATATATCTTTTGCACAGAGTTTTTTATATCTTTTATACTTATATATCTTTTGCACAGAGTTTTTATATCTTTTATACTTATATATCTTTTATATTTATATTTTTTTATACTTATATTCTTTATACTTATATATCTTTTATATTTATATTTTTTTATACTTATATTCTTTATACTTATATATCTTTTATATTTATATTTTTTTATACTTATATTCTTTATACTTATATATCTTTTATATTTATATTTTTTTATACTTATATTCTTTATACTTATATATCTTTTATATTTATATTTTTTTATACTTATATTCTTTATACTTATATATCTTTTATATTTATATTTTTTTATACTTATATTCTTTATACTTATATATCTTTTACACTTATATATTTTTTACTATTTCGTATTTTATATACAGAGTGGGTCACAAGTTCCTTCCCACCTATTTTCTTTTTTTTTAACGAAACATCAAAATATAAAAAAAAACTAATTCGTCTTAAAACTAATTAACTGAACTTCAAACTAGCTTTGTTTTAAATTTAATTAATTTCAAATTCAAACGTGACTGTTTTCATTACGTTTCAAAAATTATTCCCCTCAAAAACGTTGAACGAAAATGTACATAATAAAAAAGAATCACGGATTTATTTCAGTAGGAAGTACTTTTTGGCCCACCTTATACGTTTCACTCTCTTATATACGTGCATTCATATACAAGAGTAAAAAAACGGAGTACATACCTTACTCCGTGGAAATGGTCGATGCAATATTATCTTCCAGCGTTTCACCATGCGCGTGTTATATTACATCTTCCAAGCTCGACCGGGTGAAACACCTGAAAAATCGAATCGTTATTCGATTACTCGGCGGCCCCTGATACTCCGATATAATCTACCGTGCCTGCGTAATAGCCAGACATAAGGAGCTTTGATTTATGATCGCTGGCGGAAGAGCGCGATGGAACACGGAGGACGTCGAATGAGATTTACGATGCTCGATAACCTCCACGCACGCGAATCGCGCGTTAATTATTATTACGCCAACGTTCTACGATCGTCTGACGTCTGATGTTAATAATTATCTTATTAACATTAATCGAGTAATTTCCGTAGCGTGTTTATTATCGCTCTGTCGGCGAATCGTCACTCGTTAGAAGAGGAAATTAAGTAAAGATTCGAGACAGACGCACGAAGGATATGTTACAAGTGTAGAGGGGATAGTTTCGAGATCGAAGCAGAACTAGAGGAGACTGATATTCTTTTCACGCCGGGCGAGGAAAATTGAATTTGCGACGGAGCCTCTCGCATATCGCGGGAGGGGCAAATTGAAACAGGCCTGGTAATTTCCTGTAAAGAGGTGAATCAAAATGGCGCCCGACACCGCCGGCCACAAATTGCGGCTTTCCCTTACAATAGTTCGCCCCCAGCAATGGCGAGCATTTGTAACTATGACTGCGCGTCTAATCGCCGCTAATCAAGCCTAATCTCATCAACAGGCTGGCCGTAACAGGGAACGACGAAAATGTTACGTTTAATTTTCGTTCGATCTTCGTCGATTTAAACATTCGAAAATAATTATGTTGATTCGAGTCCACCTGGCCGTAAATACGCGGCATACGCGGGAGAAGAAATCACGCTCGAGTGCTCTCTCGAGAGCTCTCAGCGAACCATAAATAAATGTCGCTCGGGGAAAGCGGGCCGTTCAACGCTCGTTTGATCTTTTTAAAAAAATTACACGCCAACAGCCGTAACGGAAAACCCGTGTCCCCCGTGTGTATATTTTTCTATCCGATTTCCGGGCGGATTCGAACCTAGTGAACTTATCGTTTTCCAGCCCGATTCACAGGAACAATATCCCCGGTGATACCAGCGGTGCACATTTTTTTCAGAATCAGTCATCGTTAACGATCAGCTCCTCGCCGATCACGCTTGCCGCTCGTCACGCCCATTACTATCTATTCGCGATCCTTCAGAAATTTATTTCCACGTTCACCACCCGTGTAGAGTAAATATGCGTAAAGAATTTTCGTTTGAATTTTCGAATCAACGCTATGATTAATACGAAAGCGGATAATCCTCATTTTCCTCGCAAAGTGTAATATCCTTGGAGAACCAATCGATTCGGATTATATTTACTGATGAGTTTGATCATTCGCTTATAAACTAAGAACGAATCTTTTATTTCTCTAAACAGTGAATGCTTCTAAATTTTCAAATCACAAGAATAAGTTTGATCATTAGCTTATATATATCATCCTTTCAAACTAAGAATCTTCTGTTTCTTTGACCACTTGCGCTGGCAACCGATTGCGGACCATAACGAGTGACCAAATCGTATAAAATAATTCGTCGCTTTCTTTTTGACCTCGTCGGTACGATATCACTAAATAGAAATTATTGAGAAGTAATAAATTTATTGTTTGTTTTGCCTATTTTGTTTTACTTAAATATGATTTACTTAAAACTGAAAAAATATTGCAATTTTGAAACAAAAAATTCTCGACGTGCGTGGCACGTCGTTCCAACGCAAGAGGTTAACCACTTGCGCTGGCAACCGATTGCGGACCATAACGAGTGACCAAATCGTATAAAATAATTCGTCGCTTTCTTTTTAACCTCGTCGGTACGATATCACTAAATAGAAATTATTGAGAAATAATAAATTTATTGTTTGTTTTGTCTATTTTGTTTTACGCAAATATATTTAAAACTGAGAAAATATTGCAATTTTGGAAGAAAAAAATTCTCGACGTACGTGACACGTCGTTCCAGCGCAAGAGGTTAAAACAATTGATGCTTGAATTTAATCATTCGTCGTACAAATTACTTACTAATATGTATTACTTATGCATAGAATTAATTAATAATAATATAGTAGTGATCAATAATAATATAATAATCAAAACAGGTATAGAATATAGAATTAACATTCATCGTAATTCTTGTCCCTTAATTAGTGTTGTTTAAAGCTTAGTTTGCACTTTGATTCGACTTTCGTCGATTTGTATCTATCGAGAGTAATATCCACGTAATTTTATCTGTGATAAAAATTAGACAATCTGAGAGGGAACTTGCCTTGCGAGACGAAGAGACGATTGGCTCGATGGAAAAGCACGGATGGAAAGCATTGCGCGATTCCATGGATCGTTTGACTGTTTCTCGAACGAACCACGTGCCGGTAAACACGTGCTATAAGTATGCAGATAGCGTGCCCCCTCCGAATTAACAGGTGCCCTTGAAGGAAAGAAAATTGCAGGGACAGGCCGCGTTGTTCGACACTTGATTGCATCGCGTGTGCAGCAACATCCTCGAGAACGTGTTCGCGCTCGGACACCGGTCGATCGATCTCTTTTTGCTCACGAGAGCTGGATGCACACGATCGCCTCTTTCTTTACCCACAGAGCAAGCAAGTACACGCGAACACCGCTACAACCTGTCAACATCACCTTTTTATCGTTTTCTCTCTCTCTGTCTTTCACTCTTTCTCTCTTTCTTTTCTTATTGACATCTTAAATTCTCAGTACAACGGAGAAAAATCCTGCAAACTCTGGTAAATATTTACCTGTCACCGAAGAAGGTACGATCTCTTTTGCAAAGCATTGCGGTGTTTCTCGCGTTTAGTGATCAATCGACATTCACGTGACGAAATGGTTCATCCAATAACGATATTAACAAATGTGATGCTCCGTTTCTCGTATTGTATCTTCTCGATTATTTACATGTTAGAGTTAACGGAAAATAATATGATACAAGTCGATAAAACGGCTAAATAACTATCGTGCATTCCCTGTTATTTGGAACGAATCAAAATATAAATATAAATACTTGCGTTCGTTTAAAATATGGACGAATTTATACAAAGGAAACACATTTGTTCTTGTCCTACAGATTAATTGACAAACGTGTGAGAAATGACACGGCGTCACTCAACAAAAAAGAAAAAGAAAAAGAAAGAAAGCAAGAACACGTTGCTGCCTAATGCAACGTGACACTGAAATTTGATGGGGAAATTACGAGGCGATACGACGTACGTACGAACTCCTCGAGCAACGGCGCCGAACTGCAACGAAATTTGTTCGCGCTCAACTCGTCCGCGCATCCTATGCTGCGCATACATATACTAGAGAATTAGCGGGTTAACAAAAGCATTTGAAAATGGAAGGAATTTTCACGGACGTGATGTTAATTGGTTCACTGCAGAATTAAACGGGCAACGATTGCAAAGAGAAACGTAAAAAACAAATTCTTGTTTATTTTACATTTTTTCGTACATATGAAAAGTTAAAATTTCGTCGTTAACTATAAAATACGCATCTGTTGAATTAAAATGCAAATCCGTGCCTATGTACAAATACAACGATCGAAACTTTGTTCGTAGAATCGAGCTGTTACATATAACCATAAGAATCGTTCGTAGAATCGAGCTGTTACTTATAACCATAAGACCAACTGAATTTCAATCTCATCGCGTAACTTTTCAGAATCGGTGGTCTTTATACATCAGAATGAAATGAAATTCATTACACAGATACAAAGAATCTAAACTATATCGTAATTACAATTTTCGAAATTACGTGTTAAATACATGTCTCTTTCGCTGTAAAATTAATTAATGTACAATAATTTACATTCACATATGCACAAGAATTGTATGACTGTTTACACAGTATATCAGTTCAAAAAGAAGCTACAAGAACATCAGTCTATTGTATTGTAATCACTACAGAACTCTATCTCGTTATATGTTTCAGCTATCCAACCAAGAAGATATTTCACTTTTTCTGTTGTTTCATCTGATGCTTTAAAACCTGTTACAACTTCCATTAAACATTTTGACAGGTGCTTCAATATAGGCTGCAAATAAAAATGCAAAAACTGACTAGTTAACATAGTTTCACGCAACTGTTATATTTATTAAAATCGAATATCATGAAAATGAAATATTTACCACAGGCCAGTTCTGCCTAAATAAAGCCACGCACTGATCGCTAAAACTATCAATGTCTAAAACATTTTTCTCTATTAATCTGTTAATAAATTTTCCAAACACTACCCAAACTTCTTCCTTTTCCGGTTGCGCTAAAAGCATAACGTTTCTAGAACTAAATATTCTATGTATAGGCGAGTCTGATTCCAAAGTTTTACAACGATTCATTGCCCATATTGTTATAAATTTGTCTTGAATTTTTGACATAAACAGATCGCTTCGATAAGCAACTGTAAATAAAATAAAAATTTATGATTTTGTTCACGGTGTAATAACAAACAATAGTAAATTATACTTATACTAACATATATTCTTACCTAAAAATAATGCAAAATCTGTACTAAGGGAGTATAAAACTTTTTCCAGTCCCACAACTAAATCAGCTCTTTCGTTTAAAGTCTGATATAAATTATCTAACAAAGTCGAGACAATTGTTACTGTTAAGAAATCACCACCATTATCAAGTATAATCCATATAAGTTCCTATAACAGTTATAATAGAAAAACCGATAAGTTTTAATGTTATTCTATTGAAAAAAGTATGCAAGTAATTACCCTCAAGTTGTCAGTGACAGTTGTTGGACTCATAGCATTTTGATTATGCTTCCTTTCTTCCATAGGATGCAGTGGTGTATTGTTCCTCAAAAATCTGTTTAATTCAACTTCCATGTCTTTTATAAATAACGATCCACCTACTATGTGAGATTGTATCCATTGATGTATACGTTCCATAGCTAACCTTGTAGCAATTTTAGCACACATTTCTTTTACGGGTGTCAGCGAATCTTCCGCCAAAAGAGCATCTATGCATTTTGTTACCCGTAATTCACAAATTCCCGGTATAGATGCTTCACACTGATCTTTCAATTCTTTAGACATATTCATAGCTAATGTGTTTATATCAGTTATCACAATTGCCTAAATGAAATGACATATGAATTTGCTGCACAACTTTGGAATAATTTAAAATTTCAAAAATCTACCTTAAAATCTGTAACATTACGTTGTTCTCTAAATTTTTCGGATTGTTTTCCGATTTGTTTTTTCTTTAAAATCTCCCTAAAATTATTGAGATTCGTTTCTCTAGAGGACATTAACAAGGTATTACATATGTGTTTTACACACGTTGAAGCAACTCGTTCTGATACGAAGTCAACGGTTTTTCGAGTAGATGCAGGTTGTCCACCAAAAAATGCCTCTTCCAATTGCAACTGTTGAAATTTAATTATTACAATATTTCTTGTTAAACAAGTTAAGTTGGTCAACTTACCTCTAAATGCTTTATACCTGCACTTTTAGCAGATTTATAAAGTTGACTAGAAACTGGTGTAATATGTTTATTTGCATTGTAATTATTTAGATTTGTATTGCAATTTGATACAGATACGTTTAGTCCAATCAATGGACAACATACACGCAATGTTCTTTCATTGATGATATCCAATTTGTCCAAACTACATTTAGTTGATGTAACGGACACAGTGGGTTCTAGTAGTATATTTTTTTGCAGATAATTTCTATCAAGATGCTCCAAACTTCGCAGCTCTCTAACTTTATACATCTTTTGCCAAGTAGAATAGAAATCTTTTGGAATGTTTGGCAATTCGAATAACCAACTTAAGGTATATTTAAGAAAAATCGCCGTTTGTTGAGAAATAAAACTATCAGATGTTGAAAAGTCAAAATGATTTACAACTTTATAAATATAATACAAAAGCTCCAAAGTTTGTTTATAATATGGTAAACGAAGAGACACTGTATCCATCATAGCTAAATATTTTGCTACCCAAGGTACAGTTAATGATAATTTTCTTAATGCAATTGCATTATAAAGACAAAGATGTAAATTTATTGCTGGTACGACCTAAATAAAAAATATTAACATTAATTTCATTTACACAAATATGTAAAGCAGAAAAACTTACTTTACTCCTTATTTCCACTTGAGTTGCTATTAAATCTTTAAAATTATTAGATTCCGATCTATATGGTAACGATACAACGAGACCTAACACTTTTGCAAGAAGTCTTAAACTGGATAAACAAATAATAAAATTTTGTTGTGTTTGTTCATCGACCGTTGTTTCTATTATAAGAAAAAAACAATACTATTATATCAATAGTGCATGGAAATGTATGACTTACTAATGTTACACACATATACATTAATACCTGAATCTTCTATTTCGCTATTATTAAACTGAGTGTCATTCAATTCCATTATCTCGTGGATTAAGCAATTTTCTAAATGAATGTAAAAATTTGGATTAAAAGCATATAATATAAAATCCTTGAAAAATTCTTGCACTCCAGGAAAAGATGGTTGTGTAATTTGATTTTTAGAGGGCTGTGGAGTTACTAGTCGCTTTTGCAGTTGATTTAACTTCTTTGGATTTATGTGTTTCAATGTCTTTAAAACGCTTATACTTTCATCATCTTCTACTTCTGTCTAAAAATAACAAAGATAAGCTAAAAAACTAATGGCCAAAGAAACCAAAACATTTACAAACATATAACTTTATTTCTTACGCTTACCTGTTGTCTATTTTGTATACACGAAATCAAAAGTTGTGACTTAAACAATCTTGCAAAATGATAATAATTTACAGCATCATTATGCAATGTTAACATAGTTCTTATTTTACTTCCTAAAGCTATTTGAAATGTCCATCCATGCACTGAGTGATTTTTTTCCCATATTCTAAATATTTCATAAAAGGTGTCTCTTTGATTTTTGAATGTCTGAAAAGCAGCTGCAGATGGAAAATTTTCACGGTTGTCTGTATCTATTTGAAAACACACATTTAATTCGCCCATTGTATGTAAGTGGCTGTAAAAAAAGGAAATAAATGTAAAGGAACAACATTTTTATATGTAGTGAATGTTTATACATGCATATATACTTTATACGTTATACATCTTTTCTCAATTTTTTTCAATTATATGTTAATGCTCATATTAACATAAAAATATTCATATTAACATTGAACAATAATATTATAGGAAAATTTATAATGATCAAAATAAAGAAATGTTACGTAACGACCAACAAAGAACTTATTTAATAAAATATTTTGAATTTTACGCACTCTAAAATCATTAATATATTTTATTTTTATTAGCGTAAAATAGTTTAGAAAAATAATTCTTTATGTAAACATACAACTACTTTTGTTTGACCAAATACAAGTACAAATATCGTTGTCAGTTATAATCATTATATATGTACTTAATGAATATATTTTTTTACAAATCTTTTAAACGTACTCATCTATTGAAATTGCCAAATATATAGCAGAATGTCGAATAATTTTAAAATTTAATAGGTTATGTTTGTAACTGTAAATACGTTTTAATGTATACTAACGCAAACAAAATTCTCAAAATTTTAGTTCACTCATTCGTAATTCGTTATTTGATAAAAACTTTGAAATTTTTACATAACGCTATATTTTACAACAGGTATATAACAATGCCATAGCATTCCACATTGTAAGCGTTTACAGGTCTCGGCACATCCTAATTCAATGGCATCCATCTTGAATTCACATTAGTTTAGGCGTCCAACATACTTCATAAATAAGGAACTAGTAAATATATTACTATTGTAAAAGGACATATTACTAATTACAAACATATACTACTATTGTTACATACATTAAACGGTAGTATTAAGACAATATAATATTAATCAGAACCTTTATTCAACAAACAAAAATATGTATTTTTTGATTTACAGAAATTGAAATATAGTTATTGTCATTAATTTTCTTTTTTGTCTTTTTACTTTTTATTTGCATTCTCAAAATATTTATAAAAATTTTAATAAATTATCCTTTGGATCCAACAAGAGGATAGACAGCATCGGTAGCGATACCACAATGGTTCTGTTTATTTCTAGCCATTTTAATATACCCATTGTTACCCCATGCCTCACTCCAACTATTCTTTACTAGCCAATAATCCTGACCATTTTCATCAGTTCCATATCCCACTACTAATACTCCATGGTCCAAATTTTGTGAAGAGCACTTTGGTTCATAATAGATTCCTGTAATTTATACAAATTCACTTTGTTAAACTACTGGAACATTTTCAAATTCATAACTTAGTGTCAAACTGTACAATAAGCAAACAAACCTTCAGAATAAAATTGGAAAGACTGATGAGAAGCATCAATAGCAACAGAAACTGGCCCCTTAGTAGCAACTGCTGCTTTAAGCTTTTGCTCATCCCCTACTGGAATGCACACAAAGCCATTATCACTGGCACCTTTATTTACCGCATCATACCTATACATATAAATTAATCAATCATACTATCTAGCAAAGATCTTTTCTTGTAATTCTTACCTGCAATTATCATTTTTAGCTTCATATGGATAATTAGCTTCCTTATCTAAACCTCCATTGTCTTGAATATATTGGAAAGCTACAGCCGTTGCTCCTCCATTGCATCCATGATTACCGTTTTTTCCAGAGCAATCAATTAAATTTTGTTCACTTAAAGAAACTAGAACTCCCGTTCGTAGAAAATGTTGTCCCTCTAAAGCGCCAGTCTATAAATATAATAATTATAATTTATCCATTTCATTAAAACTTGACTGCAATACGTTACAATTTTACTATTAATTTTTCATAAATAGTTCAATGATTTATAAATATAAATATTTAATTATATAAAATGTCTGACAATTTTTCAAGTACTTCCGGCCGACTGATGAAAAAATATTTTAAATGTTGTAGCTAAAAGCTGACTGACTTTTGTTTAAAACATTTTTTCATCACATCATCGAAAGTACTTAAAAAATTGTGGTAAATATTACATGAGATATACAGGGTGTTTCGTCTGAGTACAGTGAGATATTTCACCGTACTCAGTTAGACTCAATACCTTGTATATTTGTAATATTTCATTTTGTTATTTCTAAATATTATTATTATTACATTATAATTATTTTATTTTATTATATCTAAATTATTCTATACTATCAATCATAATACTAACTGCAGAGAATGCCCAACATGATCCACATTGTTTTTGATCTTTAACGGGAGTTACAGCGCCGTGTTCTCTCCAATCCATTTTGGTTGGTAATACATTTTTTGATGGAGAAAATACAAGACAAATCAGAGGTCTTTCAGATCTTAATTGAGTACTTATGGATTTATTAAAACCGTTTAATGTATTCACGAACTCATGTTGTAGCTGAAAATCAAATTACATAATTCTCAAAAAATATGTACATTTAATATACATAATGTGAAATTACTTACAACTTTATAATTTACTCACCAAGTCACCATACTTATTCATCTTTAATTTATACGAAACTTTTTTCATTTCGTAATCCTCATTATGTTTATCTATTTTATATTTATTGTCCATAAATATCTTCATTCTGAATCTCTCCTCAATATCATTTTTATATGTTTTATTATGTTCCATCTAGAAATTAATAATACAATAAAATATTTTTTATAATTTATAACTACTTATGTTATTGTTAAAATACATTTGTGTGGGATATTAACAAATATTATTATTAATTGAACAAACAATTACACAAATTCTTTATCTGCACATGATTGGTAAAGACCTACATGATACAACATAAGATGTCCACATGCATAACGTAACAGATTTAGTTAAAAGACATAAAATTTTTATATACTACACAAGATATATACTACACAAGATATATACTACACAAGATATATAAAATATGTTACAAAATTGACCTATTACTGGCCTTTTCCAAAACAATAGATTTAATTACCTTAAATGATGCCCATTCTTGATGAGTCAATTCGGTAAAAGGTAAAGCCTGTGTCGTAGCAAATACTATTGCAATTAAAGGCAAAAATGTCTTCATGATTTTAAAATTATATCTGGAAACATATACGTATCTATAAATTAATTTCTTAGTAAAAATATATTATCTTCTATGCTCTATCTTATCTCGAATTATTCCCAAATTTTTTTCCTACAAAAACAGCAAAATATGAAAACCAATATATTATTCTATTGTATCTCATATTATATATCTCATATATCATGCCGTCATTAATTATCTATTATCAAAACAAAATAAAATTTTAAGAAAGCGTGGTTGTCTAGATAATTACAAAAAATGACTAATTCATGCAAATGTAATAAATTTACATTTCTAGTTAAAAAAATTGATAGCACATGTTTAATTTAAATAGATGGCTACCTTTAATGAGAATTTTATGCAAATAGCATTTTACGTATGTAGAATTTTACGTAACGAATAATGTTATTAAATAACTCGAAATATTCGGATCACTGAAAGTAAATCATGACGCTAGAACATTTTTTGCATAACAAAAATTATTCATATATTTCAATATTTTGTGATTTATCATGTACGAAGAGTGTTAATGAAATGCAGTATTAAATGAATTCGAAATAAAACTGAAGAATCTCGAACTGAAGCAACGGCATACATTAGTGTCAAAAATACCTAAAATAATGAAGAGTAGCAACAAAGCAAAGCACGGTTCATTTAAAGGTGTTACAAATTGTGATAAAAAAAAGTGTATATATATCTTGATTTCTTTTTAGAATCCAGATTTACGATAATGCATCTGTATACGCTGTAAAACTGATCCAATTTTACGAAGAAAAACTTATCTATTTTGTTGCAACCCGCACGTGAAGAAGTGTAAATTACTAAGTCAACAAGGAACACAAAGAAGTGACCCTGTTTATGACCATTTTTATATAGAAACATGTGTAAACATATTCCACAATTTATTATACTCGGATTAAAATTAAACATTTGCCAAGAATAGAGAAATGCAAACAATTTTCAGAAGGAGGAAACCACTATATAATAACAAAAACATAACAAAACAAGACATAATAAAATGAAAATCAAATACTGTTGTATTTGCGTGTAAGAAGTCAGGTGTCCTTACTGTCATAAACGACTGAATAAATTTCAAATGTTTTACCAATAACTGACAGGACTCGTCGCACAGCACCAAATAATCAAGGTAAAATAGCCGTTACTCCAGACTAAAGAAAAGCGCTCGCTCCTTTTTATACCCTACAGATACCCCTTCCACTGGGTGAGTCAATGTTGGTCATGTTTTATCATGACGTTTTTAACGTCCCCCAATTTCCGAGTCCGAGGTCTTATAATTCATTTAAAAAATAAGAAAATTATTAACCTGCGCGCGCACACACATATAGGATTTAAAACCTGGTATTAATAAAATCGTGATACTAAAATATAATAGAAAAATAAATTTATTTAAATTAGAGAAACTATCCTTGACTAGTAAGACTTGAATCTATACTAAAAATATGAATTATATACAATATATACTTTGGATTTACCTGTTTCAATGTATATAAAACACTTATACTTTCGTCATCTTTCTATCTAAAAATAACAAAGACAAATTACAAAACTAATGGCTAAGGGAACTAAAACATTTACAAACATATAACTTTATTTCTTACGCTTACCTGTTGTCTATTTTGTATACATGAAATCAAAAGTTGTGACTTAAACAATCTTGCAAAATAATAATTTACAGCATCATTATGCAATGTTAACATGGTTCTTATTTTACTTCCTAAAGCTATTTGAAATGTCCACCCAGGCAGTGAATAATTTTTTTCCCACATTCTAAATATCTCAAAAAAGGTGTCTCTTTGATTTTTGAGTATCTGAAAACCTGCTTCAGATGGAAAATTTTTACGGTCGTCTGTATCTATTTGAAAACACACATTTAATTCGCCCATTGTACATAAGTAGCTGTAAAAAAAAAATAAATAGTAAAGACTTAAAGAAACATTTTTATATGTAGTGAATGTTTATACATGCATATATACTTTATACGTTATACATCTTTTCTCAATTTTTTCAATTATATGCTAGTACTCATATTAACATAAAAATATTCATATTAATATTCAATAATATTAAATTTATAAGGATCAAAATAAAGAAATGTTACGTAACGACTAACAAAGAACTTATTTAATAAAATATTTTTAATTTTACGCACTCTAAAATCATTAATATATTTTATTTTTATTAGCGTAAAATAGTTTAGAAAAATAATTTTTTATGTAAACATACAACTACTTTTGTTTAACCAAATACAAGTACAAATATCGTCGTCAGTTATAATCATTATATATGTACTTAATGAATGTATTTTTTTACAAATCTTTTAAACGTACTCATCTATTGAAATTGCCAAATATATAGCAGAATGTCGACTAATTTTAAAATTTAATAGGTTATGTTTGTAACTGTAAATACGTTTTAATGTATACTAACGCAAACAAAATTCTCAAAATTTTAGTTCACTCATTCGTAATTCGTTATTTGATAAAAACTTTGAAATTTCTACATAACGCTATATTTTACAACAGGTATATAACAATGCCATAGCATTCCACATTGTAAGCGTTTACAGGTCGCGGAACATCCTAATTCAATGGCATCCATCTTGAATTTAAAAACTCACATTGGTTTAGGCGTCCAACATCCTTCGTAAATACGGAACTAATAAATATATTACTATTGTACAAGGATATACTACTATATATACAAATATATACTACTACTATTACTTGTAATAGTATATATATTGTAATACTACATATATTAAACAGTAGTATTAAAACAATATAATATTAATAAAAAGCCTTTATTCAACAAACAAAAAGATTATTTTTTCATGTACAGAAACTGAAATATAATTAAATACTTATTATCATTAATTTTCTTTTTTGTCTTTTTACTTTTTATTTGCATTCCCAAAATATTTATAAAAATTTTAATAAATTATCCTTTGGCTCCAACAAGAGGATAGCTGGCACTGGAAGCGATACCACAATGATTCTGTTTATTCCTAGCCATTTTAATATACCCACTGTTACCCCATGCCTCACTCCAACTATTCTTTACTAGCCAATAGTCCTGACCATTTTCATCAGTTCCATATCCCACTACTAATACTCCATGGTCCAAATTTTGTGAAGAGCACTCTGGTTCATAATAGATTCCTGTAATTTATACATTTTCACTTTGTAAAACTACTTATACATTTTCAAATTCATAACTTAGTGTCAAACTGTGCAATAAGTAAACAAACCTTCAGAATAAAATTGGAAAGACTGATGAGAAGCATCAATAGCAACAGAAACTGGTCCGATAGTAGCAACTGCTGCTTTAAGCTTGTGCTCATCCCCTTCTGGAATGTCTACAAAGCCGATATCACTGGCACCATTGTTTATCGGATTATACCTGTACATATAAAACAATTAATCATAATATCTAAAAACGATCTTTTCTTATAATTCTTACCTGCAATTATCATTTTCAGCTTCATATGGATAACTAATTTCTGTATCTAAACCTCCATTGTCTTTAATATACTGAAAAGCTTGATCCATCAGTCCTCCGTTGCAACCATTATTACCGTATTTTCCAGAGCAATCGATTAAATTTTGTTCACTTAAAGAAACTAAAACTCCCGTTCGTCGAAAATGTTGTCCCTCTAAAGCGCCAGTCTATATAATAATTATAATTTATCCATTTCATTAAAACTTGACTACAATACGTTACAATTTTACTATTAATTTTTTATAAATAGTTGAATAAATTATAAATATAAATATTTAATTATATACAATGTTTCACGATTTTTCAAACACTTCTGGTACTCTGATGAAAAAGTATTTTAAACTTTCAAAAGTTGTAGCTGAAAACTGATTGACTTTTGTTTAAAACACTTTTTCATCACATCATCGGAAGAATTTCAAAAATTGTGGTCAATATTACACGAGATATATATTTATAATATTTTATTTTGTTATTTCTAAATATTATTAATATTATATTATAATTATTTTATTTTATTATATCTAAACTCTATACTATCAGTCATAATACTAACTGCAGAGAATGACCAGCATGATCCACAATGCCCCTGATCCTTAACAGGCGTTACAGCACCGAGTTCTCTCCAATCTACACTCTTTGGTAATACAACATTTGCTGGTTCAATAAATGCAGCAGAACTCAGAGGTCTTTCAGTTCTTATGTGAGTATGTCTAGATTTATTAAAACCGTTTAATATACTAACAAACTCATAATGTAACTGAAAATCAAATTACATACTTCTCAAAAAATATGTACATTTAATATATATAATATGAAATTACTTACAACTTTATAATTTACTCACCAAGTCACCATACTTATTCATCTTTAGTTTATACGTAACTCCTTTCATTTCATAATTCCCATTATGTTTAGCTATTTTATGTTTATTGTCCATAAATATCTTCATTCTAAATCTCTCCTCAATATCATTTTTATATGTTTTATTATGTTCCATCTAGAAATTAATAATACAATAAAATATTTCTTTTTTTATAATTTATAACTACTTATGTTATTGTTAATATACATTTATGTGGGATATTAACAAATATTATTATTAAATGAACAAGCAATTTTAAATAAATTTTATCTGCACATGATTAAAGGTAAAGACCGACATGGTACAACATACGATGTCCACAAGCATGATGCAATTCATTTAGTTAAAGACATGAAATTTTTAATGTTACAAAATTGCCCTATCATTGGCCTTTTTTTATCCATAGATACAATTGATTTAATTACCTTAAATGTTGCCCATTCTTGACTAACCAATTCGAAGAAGGACACAGCCTGTGCCGTAGCAAATATTGTTGCAATTAAAAACAAAAATGTCTTCATGATTCTAAAATTATACCTGGAAACATACATGTACATATGGTATATACCTGCAAGTTAATTTCTTAGTAAAAATATTATTTATTATCTTCTATGCATTTCATTAGTCAACTGTTCTCAAATTTTTTTCCTAGAAAAATGTTATCATTTCTATATCGTTCTATTGTGACGGTCATTAATTACTTATTATCAAAAGAAGATAAAATTTCAAGAAGGCGTTATTGTCTAGATAATTACAGGAAATGACTAATTCATGCAAATGTAATAAATTTACATTTCTAGACAAAAAAATTGATAGCACATGTTTAATTTAAATAGATGGCTACGTTTGATTAGAATTTTATACAAATAGCATTTTACGCGTGTAGAATTTTACGTCTGTAACGAATAATATTATTAAATAACAAACTCGAAATATTCGAATCACTGAAAATAAGTCACTACGCTAGAACATTTTTTGCATAACAAAAATTATTCATATATTTCAATATTTCCTGATTTATCATATATGAAGAGCGTTGAGAAATGAATTCGAAATAAAACAAATTCTCAAACTGAAGCAACCACACTCATTAGTGTCAAAAAATATCAAAAACTGTAAAAAGGAACCGTAAGACAAAACACGATTTATTAAAAGACGTTGCAAATTATATTATATATACTGAACATCCATCATCGTTATTTCAATTCACAAGACAAATTATAGCAGAAAACTATTAATGCAAATATTTTGGGTCTTGACCTAACGACACTAGAACATTTTTTGCATAACAAGAAAAAATTATTCATATGTTTCAATATTTCGTGATTTATCATATACGGGTAGTAAATGAGTTCGAAGTAAAACAGATTCTCAAACAGAAGCAACGACACTCATTAGTGTCAAAAATGCTCAAAATAACGAAGAGTAGCCACAAAGCAAAGCATGATTTATTATAAAGGCGTTGCAAATTGTGATAAAAAAAGTATATATATATACTGAACAGCCACCAGCGTTTTTCCAATTCACAAGACAAATCATAGAAAACTGTTAATGCAAATATTTTGGGTTTTTTATACTATATCATGCAAGATTGGAACTGAAGGGAAAAATCTGCATTAATAACGAAAAGCGAAATAGCGAATCCAATGGCGAATCAACGAAAAATTTAATCGACAGCAATTAATAATCTGAATCGCGATCCGGTTAATTTGACAAAACAAATATCAAATTCATCGATAGAATATAAATAAATCAAATGTCAAATATTTCAGTTTGACAAGGGAACAAATCGCAGAACGCCCTTTTGAATCTAGATTTAAACTAATGAAACTGTATACTGACTCAATATTACAAAGAAAAATTTACATATTTTGTCCCAGCCCACACATTCCCGGGATGTGAATACAAATTGAATATTGTTGGGAACAATTCGTTTAAGCACACATACATACATAAGAACAACATGAAGGTACACACGAATCAAAACATTCATACTGTTGTACAAAAAAAAAAAAAATTTTAAATAGAAAAACATCTAAAATCTTTATATTATTGTCTAATAGTTACTCTTAAATTAATATAACATAATAAAATTATAATATAAAAATATAATATTGCTGTATTATATTATTATTATATTACCTTTATATTATTATCTAATAATGTGATGAAAGTAACAGACCGAAAAGAAATTTGACAACGGTTAAACACTATTTGATACGTACATATTATCAACTGAAATAAATATTCATTAGATGGTAACTGTGTTAGAAGCAGAATAATTGTTCCTTATTATACATAAAACTTTACGATACTGATTGTGAGATTAATCGCATATTCCGAGTTCGTAGTATTATTCGTTACAAATACAAAATCGTACATGAAAAACATAAGCGTTAAGTTATTGAGAAATTAAAGGTGGTATACGCATGCTTTCTTCTAACTGTATTATTTAATTCAATTTAAACAATAACGATAGTGAATGAAAAAAATTTTGAATCGTGTTAAAATGAATGTTTCGTAACTTTCTTCCTTAATAAAAAATATGTGATTATGTCGTTGCTTGATATATCTTCACGATACACGTACACAAATTTCTATTGCGCACAAAATTTTACGTTACGTGCAACATTGACATCGTATCAACAAAGAAATAATCGCATGGCAGTCATCAAATATAATTCTGTGCAACAGAATCACATGTATATTAAATATATATCATATACATTAGCATTTATTTCGACCGTCACAAATGTGAACAAGTATAAATTACTAACAAAGAGCACAAAGAAGTAGCCCTCTCTACGGTCATTTTCCTGTAGAGATGTAAACGTATTCCATAATTTATTGTACTCGGATTAAAATGAAATGTTTGCCAAGAATAAAGGAATGCAAACATATTCAGAAAGAGGAAACCACTATAATAAAATGAACGTCAAACATTCTTCTTCTTTGTGTTCTTTGTTGTATAATATTGTCGTGTAATTGCTGGAAAGTATTTGCATGTAATTAATAAGTTAAGTGACGCTAGCGTTATAAACGATGGTACAAATTTTAAATGTTTTACCAAGAATAATTCAACAGTTGACAGGACTCGTCGAACAACACTAATCAATCACGATGTAACAACCGTTACTCCAGACTAATGTGACTGTAACCGTTCTCTCTTATTTTCTATAGACTCCTACTGCGTGAGTCAACGTCCGTCAGCTTTTATTGTGCGACAGCGTTCCCCAACTTTCGTGTCCATTATGATGTCTAATGATTCATTAAAAAAATAAGAAAATTATTGAGCTGCAATGCATACACACACACACCTAGTATTAACAAAATCGTGATATTAAAATATAATAGAAACAAAATTGTTTAAAGTATAGAAACTATCCTTGACTAATAAATCTTGAATCTATTGTATACTAAGAATATGAATCTTATTATGTACAATATATACTGTATTTATTTGAAGCGTTTTTTAATTGAAAAATGTAATGTTAATCTCGGTAGAAACGTGCAACTTAATTAGTTGCACATATTAAACGTAAATTATCAGCTTTTTGCGTTATTTCTTACGTAAATTTATGTTTCAAATCCTTTGTATTTATTGTTCTTTTGAGTTTGTCGAAATCTGAATTATCATGAACATCGATAAATATTTTACGATAATTTAAACGATATTCGTTTAGTCGATCTTTGTTTTTAACGATCTTTATCTCCAACGTTATCTTTGGTTGATATTAATAAAATTTCAACTCATTGGGAAACACTGTATAATAGGGTAAATAACGCATAATCTTTATCAATCACGTGCATTTATCTCTAATATTTTATATAAAACGATTTAAATACGAAACCATTACGCATTACAATTGTCATGTGATTCTGATAAATGTTTAGCAACGTTAACTCATATTTCAAACACATGTGTTTAAACACATGAATGATGCATTCTATCACAAGCAACGCTTACACATTCTTCAAATTGCGTCTTAATCATCTGACTTTGTAATCTGTTGGCACTATTTTATTAATTGTTTTAATCAATCTCTCATTAATTAGACATTTTTGTATCCGTGCATTTATTCAAATCGAAATCTAAAAATTGGAAATACATAGTATGTATCTCAAAATGTCGAAGTATTTTCTAACAAATAAATGATGAAATGACAAAGATTTATCGACCCGAAACGTAGAGTTCGGTCAAACTCTAAATTTCTAAACTAGATAAATCAGATTTATCAGTGTGAAATGTAGAGCTCGGTCATTTTGATGATGTAGGTTCTACGTATCTATCAATAATATAGTCTATGCCAGTGTACAGAATACATATATATATATATATATATATATATATATATGTAGGCATAGAATTTTTGCGAATTGAGACATACGTATTTCTCTAAACTGTGCAAATTTTGTGTTGGAAAAAAATGTCTGCACAGAAAATACAAACATTTGATATATCTCCAAAACAACGAGAAATATTACAATTTAAACACACGAGAAAAATTCAATTACGTCAACAGTATTTAAAAGAAATTCTCAACCCAGCGGTACAAACAATGCCCGTATGTATTGATGATTTTTTAACTTTACTTATATATGATTTCGATGATTATTTACGTTATGCAACGAGATACAGTTCATTCAAAATCATGTTTAATTACACCGAGCATCTTACGTAAGCATTAATTTAATTATAAACAGTCAAATAATTTTATATAGAAAACAAAATTATACAAGAATATTGTATTCGTATAATTAGTACAAAAATATATCCTCAAACTGGTGTAATATTAATTTTCATCAAATCACAATCATTATATGACATTAGTAATAAACATACAATCTAATCAATTATTACTTGATCTCAATACATAGATAGATGACGCAATTCAACGATTAGCCTTTTTGAGATCTCAACATGAATTTGTTGTGCAAACAAGATTTTGGCCACACGTGGTGGTTGGTATTGCATATCTTGGAAGCATGTATCTAGCTGCAAGAATTCTTACATACTTCAAGGTATAAGTTAAGTAAATTGTTAAACATATGCACTGTAAGAATAAATTTTTTTTTTATTTTGCAGGACAAGCAAGAACATATTTATCGTACTGGACAATTAAGCTATCGTGATAGAGAATTTAAATTTGCATAACATTTTGTTTTTTGCAATAGTATATTTATAAATGTTGAGTTTGTAACATATATTTCAATGCATGTACTATAATACAATAAAATACAAAATAATTGCTTCGCAAATAAACATAAAATGATAAAGTGTATTATTTAATGATAACTTAATTATGATTCTGTTCGACTAAGAAAACAAAATTATTGTTGAACATCGATATTCTGTAAAAATAGTTTTAAAAAATTAGGGAATTCTTTTTTCATATTTTTAATGTAAAGATATCTGTTCTTTACTTATAAATGAATACAGAATTTTATTTTAATATTTAATACTTTTTTTCTATATTTTCGATTATCGATCTTCCAATTGTTTGTCACGAGCAACAACTGCATCATCAAATTTAACCATGTATGTTGTGCCCTTATGCCAATGTGCAGTGACTTTTGCTTGCTGCAAGTATAAATATTTCTTATTAGCTTATCTAAATGTTTGAATTACTTAGACAGTAATATTGACAGAAATTAATACTCACAAAACCACAATCGCAAAGAATAGCTTCAACTATACCAGCAATAAAAGAAGCACAGTTTAGACTTCCTTTATCTTTCGGGACTGATATAAATTTGTTTACTAATGCTTCTTTTTCTATGATGTAGTACGTGCGCTCATCGTCATTTGCATGTTCTAATTTATCAGCTTCACGACCAAACAATGATTTCCATACTGTACTTTTAATAAACAATAAAATATTTAACAATTTTATCTCACGTTTTCCACCCTTCTCTCGCACGACAAGTAAATCTGTTATTTTGTGACCAACCTCAGTACCTATTTCTGCCAATCTAATCAATAAAAAATACTTATTGTGTATAACAACTTTTTAACAAGCTTGTGTATTTACGTACTTATTTTGTAATTCTGGTACGGTGTAAACACGATTTTGACAGTACTGTACAAGCTCTGAAAACAAAAGTGCGAAACAACTCAAGCTAACCTCTCCCTTTCCCTTACTTAATGATTTATCAAGTATGCTAGTTCGTGTCCGAACAGCTGATATTGTAATACCGGTCATTTCGATAAAATAATTAATAATTAAAGTAATATTTTTCTTCTTATAAACATTAACAAATTCAATAAAATAACCGAGTTAATTTCAACACTGTCTTTTGTCTCAGAGTTTGCCATCTGGTGATAGTAAGCAGAACTATTTACCATTTAACTAATCAAGAAAACTAATCAAACGTAAATATATTGCTTTATTATTCAATTAAAAAAAAAAAAAAAAAAAAAAAAAAAACAGTATTACCTGTCACCATAATTTCTTATAATTGAGTATTTCACATTAGCAGAGTAATATCTCAAATCCTCTACCGTATACACATAAAACTGTTTGACCACTGAAACAATTCAATTTTAATATCAATAGCTAAACATTAATCCATTAGAATATAATAAAATTTATGAAAAAGTATAAAAGTCATTCGAAAATATTAAATGTGATACATACTTTAAATTATACCATGAAGTTAAGCCTTTTACATCTGTTACAACTGTAGCAATTTTCTGCAAAAATGTTACCGATAAAATACTGTTGGTATAATCATAACAGTACATGTTTACTCGTTGATCTATTCCAACACTAAAAATTTTATTTTGTTCACGAAATATTATTCCTGAAAATTTTCAAATTAAATTCTTTTGTCAATAAAATATTTATATTCCTATTTTATCTTATCTTATTTCTTGTTATATATGATACTATATAATATACTGTAATATCATTATCATACAATAAATATTATTAAATGATTATGTACTGATTAGAAATCATAGACACACCTGTAATTTGAGCGTCATGGGCAGTGGAAGAATTCCACTTTGATAACAATGAAATATGTAATTCTTTCTTTGTACTTTGAAACTGAACTTTGAAACAAATAATGTTAAATAAATTATCATCACCACCAGTTGCTAATAAATATTCGTTCTTTTCAATCATTTTTATATCATAAGAATTAATTCCAGATTTATGTAAATTAAAGCTTACAATAAATAAATTTTTACAATTGTCTAATTTTTCTTCATTTTGCGGAATTATAATCTTTGAAATAATATTGGTAAAATCAATAAATCGTCCGATTCCGTCAGTGGACATTGTTAATACAATTACTTTTTCATTATATGTTAAAACGGTTATTTTTGTTATGCAACGATCAACACATTTTACTTGTGCTTTTAATGAAATATTTCTCGTATTAATATCATATAAAAACACTCTGCAAATAATATTTAAATAAATTAAAAGCACTCTGAAAGAAATATTCAAATAAAACTTACAAATAATATTTGAAAGAAATATTTGAAAAAAATATTTTAATTTCCAAAAATTCATTTTAAATTATAAAAATAAAAATAAAAATTATATATTTTTCGAGGAATATTGTTTACTTTGATATTGTATTTCTATAAATTCATATGCATAAACAATGCATAATATTACGGTTTGATATAAAATACTACACTGTAAATTTAAAAATATTAAGAGAAAAATATACCTTACAAATCCATCTGCGCAAGCAATAAAGAGCAATATATAGTCTAAATTTGTTGGGCAACGATAAACCTCAATATCCATATATCGACTCTCAGGATCCATATTAGATTCTTGCTTTTTACGAGAACGATCAACTCCGTATAACATGTGAGATGTAATGTCATAGCAAGAAATATCTGTATTTTGCAAATATATTTCACTATCTTTTATATAAATTTCCCAAACTTTTATTTGTGCTCTTCCACCCCCCGAAAAAATGAGATATTTGTTGTAAGAATCATCAGTTTGTAAACTTAAGTAAGTTATAAATTTGATATTGGAAATATGACCATCAAAAATATTCAAAGTTCGAAAGGAGAAATTGCTAATTGTCATTGTACTTGAGATATAGCTAATACGAATAGTGCTATCTTCACCACCAGATATAAAAATATTATTCTGACCAATTGATATCCGATTGATGCAGTATACTTCCTTTGCATGGAAACCGTTCTAAAAATTTGAAATATATGATTTTATATTGAATTTTTGTGAAATAGTATAGGATCTTCAATATGAAAAAATTATTCACCAATAAAACAGGCGACGTGAAAAAACTTAATGGAAAATCAGATACATATACTTGCTTATTACGAATATATAAAAATGTAATAAATTCATTTTGTATCATACAATCCCATGATCTATGTCCACCACCACAAGGAACTCTCATCAAAATTCGATAATGGAACATACTATATATTATGAATTCTGCCTATAAATAATAACAAAAAAAAAAATAAAAAATGTTTAAAAATGATGTATATGTATAATATCTGCTTAAATACATATATTCGTACCTCTTTAAAGCCTAATATAAAAATATCATCAGAGGCTTTTAAATAGCCACTAATCCAGTCCATTGGCATTTTTTGTTTATGTAAAGTGCATAATAGTTTTGTATTTTCACGTTTATTTAATTCATAAAACTTTAACATTCCATCTCGACCAGCTGATATTAATTTTGAATTCAAAATTATGAAACTTTGAATACCAATTATTCCATGAACTTTGACAAAAGTTTGGATGCATTTATTATTCGTTTCAGATATATTCGCTTCATTACATGAGACAGATTTTTGAGGATCAAAAACATGCATATTTCCAGCTCTATCCCCACACACTAGTAATCCTTCATATAAAATAGCTGCTGTTAACCAACGTTCTCGACTATGTGGTAACAAACATACTGATTCTACGGTGATTAATCCTGTACAAAATACAAATATTAAAATTAAATACAAATTAAAATGTTACTAAAAGATAAAAAGTTACTCTGCATATTTTTAAATATACCTTCTTCAGTGACACTGATTATTTTTAAAATTCCATTTATCCCACAAATTACTAATTTATTATCTTCTAGCCATTGTACAGAAAAAATTTGTGAATCCATTATCTTTTCTTCTACAATTTGTTGTAATTCTTTATTACATATATTAGGTGATATTTCTAAAATCATTGTGTATAACAATTAATGTAATAATTTAATAATTAATGTAATTTTTCTAATATTTATAATTATCAATATTTCCAATATTTAGCATTTTACCTTTGTATATTGTTATATATCCATCTATTGATGCAAAACAAACATAGGAGTGGCATAAAGAAACTTCCATAACACAGTATGTACTATATTTTTCTAAATACAATGATCCTCCTAGACTTCTATAACAGTTATTAAATATAAACAAAGTGCCATTTTCGCTAAAAATTAGAAAATTACCACTTCTTAAGTAAGACACATATTTTGGCAACATTTCTATATGTAAATATGGTAATAGTATAGCTTTTTGGATACAATTATTAACAAAAGGCCATGCATGAACTGCACCATCAGCACCACCAGTCAAAATAATTTTATTATCGCTTGATACATCAATACTCCATATAGCAGCACCATGATGAGCACAAATTTTGTTAAGTAAGTTACCATCCAATGACCAAGTGCACATAAGAGAGTCCTTAAATCATATACATAAATAAATTATCTCTATTATAAACTCTTTATTATATGGTGGTATATATAGTAGTATATTGCACCTCTCCTATGGTAATTAAAGTTTCGTTTCTAATGACAGATTTCCACACTCTAGCTGTATGACAAAACATTGTTCGCATTAGTCTTATATTGATTTCTCTCCAATTTGTTTTTTCTAATTTTCCTTCTAATATATGATCACTGTCTTCACTTTTATTGTTACTTATTTTCCACAATCTGACCGTTCTGTCATCTGATGTAGAACAAATAAGTTGTACAAGTGGATCATATACGACTGAAAAGATTATACCCTAGAATTAAGTTTATTTATATTTTTAAATTTAAACATAATAGATAAAAAATCATTGCTTTAAGGTAATATGTTACAAACATTATGTCCTTGTAAACGATGTAAAATTGGAGAAGTATTATCATGATGAGCATAATTTATTTGCCATATCAATATTTCTTGATATACAGTTCCACTAAAAATGATTACATCTTCATTGCTGTTGTCTAATATAAAGCCAGCATATCTAATAACAAAGCTAAGTTTGGTGTTCAAACATTTTGTTTAAATATTTAAATACAAGGATACAGAATGCATTTTTCTTCACACCATATACTTCGATAGGACTCAGTAAGTGTATCACAAATACAAACATTATTGTGTGCTAGAAGAATACATAAATGATCATATCCATCAAATGCCACCCATTTTGCTGTTACTATCCAATCATTAAGTCTCTTTCTATTAGAATCTTCTTCAATTCTGAAACAAAAATATTTCAGTGTAAATGAATAAATAAGGTATTTAATATAAATATTGTACGTATAATAGTTAGACATACGACAGTATTTCTTGTTTTAATTGAATCTTAAATGAAAGAAAAAGATTTCCACCAAACACTGTTAATTTATTATCAGGACCTTCAATAATTCCATGTATGTTGTGTGGATAAAGACACTTTATTTTGTGTTCCAATTTGTATGTGTTGCCATTGAAAATATATAATATATATCCCATACCTGTGTAAACGGTACAAGGAAATTATAAAAATCATATGAAATATTGTTTAAATAAAGAATTCAATTAATTTAACTACAATTCTTATCTGTCATAAAATTTACATACACATGTATTACACTAACCTATAAAAATTAAATTATCAACACAGCGAATGGCACGTACTTCGGTACACAGAAATTTCGAAAACATTTTCGGTATATTAAGTTCTACTATCAAATATTCTAAATAAGTCTATATTGAAATTAAGTCGTACGTTAGTCGATAAATTCGCATATCTAAATGAAACACATGAAAAAAAAATTCTACACTATTTGAACATCCACGTGGTTATCTGACTCGAATTTAAATCAAACGTATATGCTGGTAATGGTTTTTCCCGATAAGATTTAAAATTATTCTGGACAAAGGATTAGAAAAGTACATTTCTTAAATGTCAACAGTAAAATTATTCGAAATAATTATGTATACTTCGTGAACTGTTATTCGAAATTTTAACCTAAAGTATTTCTTGTTTTCCATCACTTGACTGTTTTGAAATATTTACTGAACAGTTTACATGTGTATTTGCTATTTGAATAGCGTGATGTCAACGTATTAAATATTTTTTTAGAAGAAATTAATATACTATTTGAAACTTATATACTCTTATTGAAAAATACAACTCTAGGAAAGTTCGAATGATCATTAAGGTAATCGCTATTTAACGAGAAGAGCGATAATGTGGGTATTTGGTTATGGTTCACTGATATGGAAAGCAGATTTTCCATATGAAGAAATTCTTGTTGGTCACATTAAAGGATATATCAGAAGATTTTATCAGAAAAGTGTAGACCACAGAGGGGTACCTAGCAGAGTACGTATCTAATAATTTCAATGTCACATCATTTTAAATAATTGTTCCACACAACGTTTCTTATTATTCCGAAACGTTTCTTATTATTTGTGATTATAATTTCAGATTGATTTGTTTTTATAAATACTCTCTTTTATATAAACATATTCTGAAAAGTGAGAATTAATTTTCTTTAAAAAATGAAAATTAATGCTAATCAAAAATATTTTTGTGATTTTTAATTTATCAGTAAATCATTTTGTTAATCATCAGTAATTCATATTACGTATTAGCTTTCGTAAATTGTATAATGTATAGTAATTATTAAGCATAAAAACAATGTTGTTTTGTTATAGCCTGGTCGTGTTGTAACATTGCTTAATTCTGATAATTGTAACGACCAAGTGTGGGGTGTTGCTTATAGAATATCACCTCAGAATATAGATAAAGTTGTAAGGCACTTGGATTACAGGGAAAAAGGAGGTTATGAAAGAAAAAGTGTTCTCTTTTATCCATCTTATTCAATTAAAGATACTGCATCATATTTCTTAACAAATAACACTTTTTCAAGTGATGTTAAAAATGAAAAATTGTTATCGTCAGTTTCAGAAAATACACCATTTTATATTACAATTTACATAGGTGGAGAAGACAATCCAAATTATGCAGGTATAGAGGATATCTATACAATAGCAAAACAGATATCTGTGTCTCATGGTCCTAGTGGAGCAAACACAGAATATCTGTATAATTTGGCATCTGCGATGCGAGTAATAGCACCAGGTATAAATGATGAACATTTATATACGCTCGAGACAATTGTGAAAATGTTGGAACAAGAAAAAAATGTGAATATAAAATTAGATGAAAACTTGGATAAATGTGATGATGAGAATGGATAGTAAATCTGTTTTAAGTACATATCAAAGTTGAATAATGTAACCAAAAATTTGTAACTTAAAACTCTGCAGAATAGGTAAATTGTTTGTATTATCTGTGCAGTTAGACAAAATAAAGGAAAGCTTTACATAATATGAAACGTTATATCTTCTGATATGAAGTAATATGTGTAATAATTGATAAGAAAATGTATAATAAAAAAGAAATGTTATTTTTTTTATAATATATGACTATACAGTATCTTTGTTTAAATATTTATTAATCAGATTGTATACAAGAATAAATGAATGTGAAGAACATTATTGCAATAAAATGTATGAACTTGTATTTGAAAATTGTCTTTATTTACGAGAGATATGTATATAAATATATATCATGTTTACAGATGAAATAGTTCAACATATCATCTATTGACATAAAATCTATTGAAAGATATATCCGTGAAGTATTAATTTCAAGGATTTTTCATATATTGGATCATTTTGTATTACAAAAATTATCACATACTAATAATTTATGTATCTTGAAATTCCTAATTGTAATATTGGAAAATGTCGGAAATAAAAACTAATTGAGCAATAAATATATTTTACATCTTATAATTTAAAATTTCTTACGTTGCAACGAAATTGATACAAACATTAAATGTAAATGGTTATGAATTAAGACTATATATTCAACATTAGATCTACGAACATGAAACTCAATTATATTTAAAGATAATGAAAATTGTTTTCAAGATAATCTTGATAAGGATAATAAGTGAGTGCAGTGAACACGGTATTCAAAATTTATCGTTTACGGAGGGACTATTTCTTATTACGCATGAGCGTGCGGTGACGCGTAATGATCAGCTGAAGGTTCATTACTACGCCATTTCTTATTGTTAGAATAACTGTCAAACAGAGTAGTTCGTTCGCGAATCTCTTTCCTGTCTGTATCTGACAAATACGACAAAAAAAAGCCAAGATTGGGTGATCCATTGACGTAAAAGCGTTTCGGACGCATCCGGGTAAATTCATCTTTCCGTTTTTTAAATATCATCGTTCTGTACAGAGTGTTTACAAAATATGTTCAAAACGTCTAAACTAAAACAAAATGGTGGTAACGAGAAACGTAGAGAGTGCAGAATGAATGTATTTCTAATTATTTGATTTATTTTATTTCTGAGATGTTTTTTGTATAAGAACGATGATATTGATTAAATGTAGATTAATTAAAATGGCAATGATATAGCCTTGATACCAGTTGAAACTTTATATATAGTAAGATATTAAAATTTAATCTTCATTAAATATAAAAATTTTAATCTTTTCTTTCCGTCAATTAAACAGCGTGCAACAACAATTTTTTTGTGACGCACTCTAATGAATAAATAAAATGAAGAGTTTACGCAATGTATAATATTTAACATCGAAGTATAACAAATTTTATAAATTTTTGTTAAATATAGCAAAATAAATATATATCTATATATATTCATTGTATTGTATATATGCGTGTAAACATAAAATGAATATATATATGTACGTAAACATACATACATACATACAAAATACAGAATATACTTTGTAGAATTATATTAAAAACATTTCAAAATTGCTACAGTTCTAAGATCTTTACGATACAATAATTATTTGCCTGCTATATTACGTTTATAATACTTCTCTAAATGATTCGTTGTTTTTTATTTCAATGGTCGTTAAAGTTGACTTCAATAAATTTGCAGAAATAAGTTATTAAAATATTTTTTTCGAATCGAACTGAATTTTATACGATGTCTGATGTTGTGTTACGATAACTTCGTTCAAGTTCGTGCGCACCCGTACTAGCTCGGATATTGCTCATCTGTGGCGATTCGCAAAGCAAATGCGATTTAACAGTAACAGTATCACTCGAGCACGCGTTCGTGTACATTCTGCTTTTCGCGGGAGCTCGTACGCTCTTACGTAAAGAAAAAAGAAAACAATATATATCTAAAAATCGTGGTGATTCTGTAATAACACGTTATTTAAAACAAATGACAGGTACGTGCATTGATTTGCTATTGTATCTGCGAGAATGTATTGTAAATAATTTGTAAGTAACGTTGTTGACAACGAATCGTTCGATGACCTTACACGAACGTTTCTTGCCCCGAGTGATTCTATTAATTTTTCACAAAATTAGGAGGGATCGATTTCTTTCGAAAGCAACGTTTTTATTGCTACAATTTCTTCTTTTTTTATAGTTTTTCATCTCGCGTAGAATGTAATTCAATATAAAAAGACATTTTTGAATTACTTATTGTATGTTCTTTGAGATGCTTCACAACTATTGTTTATGTATGTTATTACACGTAGTTGCATGTTTATAAACATATATGCACAGGTATGTGATTTTAGTTTTTAGATATACGTACATCGTTTCGAAGTTGATATTTTTAATTAAGTTATTAGCTAATTGTTTACTTGTCTACGTTTCAAACATTTTTCATTTCGTTTTTCAGAATTTTACTCGTGTTTAACGTATTTAATTGAAAAAAATTCATTCGGTTGTTTTTGATTTGATGCAAGTACCTAGTCGAAGAGAATTCAAATGAACTTGCATTCTTCTAATTTTGATAGTTGGTTGCATCAGCTAATACAGATCCGATACCTTCTTTTCTTATGTTTTTTTTTCCATTTTGATATTGTGCGAGACTGATACGATTTATACAACATTATCGAATTGCCATAAAATTGTTTGCGAAAGAGAAATAGAGAGTCGAGAATATTCTCGAAAAATCATTTTGTAGTAGTTTGTTGTTACGTCATTATTAAAAATATTTTATTTTATAAGATTTGCTAATTCTTTTTATTTCGTTCTCTTATATTTGTATTTTTACAATCTTTGCATCTTTTAAAAGTTCTATATTTTCATAACGTAAATCATCTTACTTGTGCGATTTCGGAAACGCTATTTATGAAACAAGATATTGTATTCTATAGTGAATTTTTTTTAGAAAAAAAAAAAGGAAATGAAGTTAAAAATAATAAATTCAGCCTCTTCGTAATAATATATTTGAATATTTTCACAGAACTATTGTCGCAGATATTCGCATGAATTTTTTGAGTCAATATATTTTCAAAAAGTAGCTACACATGTACATGAGAGAAAGAGATGAAAAATCGAAAGTGCTCGAAGTTATTTCAAATCATATGTAGACGTTTTATTAGTACATTCTTTGAAACTTTTCAAGTTACTCTATTGATAGCACGTGGACGTGAACTCGCATATTTTAATCGAAGTAAAGAGAAAAAATAAACACAAAAAAGCAAGAAAGGAAATAGGACAGAAATTTTATAAATATTAATGTTGAAAGTAGTTTAGTAACAATTATGAAGAAAATGTATTCTTCTTACAGCGTATTAAAAAAGAAAAAGATTTAATATTAAAGAACAAATCATTTATCACAAACCATTCAAGATCAAATCTCCTAAAAATAGACATTTATTTATTATCTTTGATCGGTGACAAAATAATTTAAATCTAATTTTTATTTAAACAATTATTTTAATGTAAATATTTTCTGTTTATAGATACAAGGCTAGCCAGCTGCGCCATTCTTGTTGTGTGACATTCATATCATCAGCTACACTACACAGACTTCATATTGTTTTTTCCTTTAATTATTGCTGTAGTGAGCTGTCAGTCACACATTGCAGGAATGGACACATCGGGCTTGCCTGTACCGGATGCAATCCACCCGCTACTTGAACAGTTGCAAGAAGCTTTGGTTCTTGAAGTAAAATATCAACCTAACCTTCAGTTACCTAATATATCACAAGTTTGTATACAAATTATGTATTATGGATAATGGAATAATTTTATATTTACAGGAGAGAGAATTTATCCATACGAAACATTTCTTCTTCTTCTTTCAGAATGACGAAATAACAATTGGAGCTCGCGATGGATCAGCCCATGTTTTAAGATGTTTGAAAGTGTGGTATGATCTACCGTCGGATGTATTTTTTGTTGCCATCAATTTAATGGATCGTTTTTTAACAAAAATGAAAGCAAGACCAAAACACATGGCTTGCATCAGTATATCTGCTTTTCACATAGCTGCTGTCCAGTTAGCACAGTCATTAGATGTTGATCACTTAGTCTCGATTTCTCAGTGCAAATGCACTGGTAGTGATCTTAAACGAATGTCAGAAGTAATACGGAATAAATTAGAATGGGCACCTGGTACTCAACCCGTTACATCTTTAACTTTCCTTCGGTTATTCAATGCAATATTCCTTGCGATTGCATCACAACTGGGACTAGGAGATATGTATACCAATATTGTAACGGTATGTTCGTTTTTATTTACGTAAGAATAAAAGATTTTTTTTGCATTGATATAATAATAATTAAATCGTTTTAGGAATCTGAACTTCTACTTAGATTAGAAATGGTTGCATGTGATGGTAATTGTGCAAGTTTGAAACCATCAGAGATGGCACTTGTTCTACTCTGCACATATTTAAACGGTGCATTAAACCGATTAGATACTAATACAGATATTCCCATATCTACAGCTGCTATTCCTAATTCCTCCACTACCAATACATCTGTAACATCAAGACATCAAATGCTTAGACTTTTGGATTTTGCTATAGAACTTCAAAAAATATGTAAGGTAATACTATAATAATTTGATGAATGTGAAACTTTCTCATATATAGTGAGTAAATCTTTAAATGATTAGTATTTGTAGATTTCAGATACAAGCTTTTTTTCTACATATGAAGCTGTGGGTGCTATATTGAGCAAATATAATGCTCAAGAGCAAACTCCTCACAGACAAAGACTGATATGGAGATTATCTTCTCGTACAGCACGTCTTTTACGTCCAACTGACAAATTTACTTCTGTGTTACCTGTCATCGCCGAACATGCTCCGGTTCCTTCGCCGAGTAAAATCAGGTATAGTTTTTATCCACGTATCGATTATTATCAAATTTAAGAATTAAGCTGAATATAAATATTCATATTTGATTTTTGGTGATTTAAACAAATTTTTAACATTTTTTATGTTCTTTGCAGGAAAAATCGTAAATTTGGCCGGCGTCATGGAAATAAGAGACGTTAAGTGGCAGTATCGAGGCCTTAAAGTGAGTTGCTTAGACTATATCGTAAAGATCATGATATTTAAAAAAAAAACCGCAACAAGAAATATATTATAACTATACATAATATTGGATTAATTTTCAAGGTACTGGGTCAGGAATTCAATATTTATTCAACATACCAAGTAAAAGAAGAAAGTATACTTGAGTTTGAAACAAAAAGTTTTGTTAAAAGTTAAATAGAAAGTACAAATATCAGTGTATTTACGTCGAGTAGCAAAAGTTTGTGATATTTCTTTTTGTGTCATGTGTTAAAAAAGTAAAGCAAAAGAAAAAGATATTTGAGTATTGTACCTAATTCGTACTAAAGTTTGATTTCTCGTAAATTAAATGTATTGAAACACACATGTACATATATATATATATATATATATATACATATATATTTATATTATATTTATATTTATATATTTATTTATATGTATATATATATATGTATATATATTATGGTTTAACCTTTTGTACTCAAGAAATGTTTTTAACATTTTTCTTCGTGTATCTTTTTCATTGGATATTATTTTAATGTTAATATTTAATTATCAAATTTTATTTGTTAATTGTCTACTGACAAAAAAAAGATTAAATTATAATTAAAAGCGATATATATATATATACATTTTTTTTTACTTGTATCATACATTTTATAAAATGAACGAGAAATTTCGTTCTCAAGTTTATCAGTTATTACTATTGTATAAAATACACGAGTGCCGTAAGGAAAAAAGAAAGAAATAAGAATTGAATGAACAAGTCGTATAGTAGTAAGATTAATGTGATATAATGTCCGCTGTAATTCATATACTATGAATAGAGTACGTGCGTTTGAAAACGTTAAAAGACGCGAAATTAATTAAATATAAAATTAAAAAATTATTTTAAAAAAGCAAATTATAAAAGATGAATAAAATTATTTAGGATCAAAATGTTTAATAAATTTTAATGCTGAAAATTGTACAAAATTTAAATTGCTATTTGATGTTTTGTTGTGAAATTATATTTATGTATTATTTAAGGAGCACACGAATGAATGTAAATAATGAATTTCTATTAAATGAGTTTACAGTATCATCGTGGAGAAAAATGTAATTATGCATTTATATTAAATGGTGTGTACTACACTTTTTGTACTCAAATTGTGTTTCTAACATTTTCTTTTTCACATATCTTTTTCAATAGGTATTTAATATTAATATCTAATTATCAAATCTTATTTGTTAACTGTCTGTTGATAAAAAAAAATATTAAATTACAATACAAGAACTTTAGAAAGCAATCAATTTATTGCCTTCAATAATTTAAAAATTAAACAACGTTTTTATATAAAATCCTTATACAGTATTTCAAAAATACAATGTACATGTTAAGAAATAAATACAAGAGCACAAAAGGTTAGTAACAACCTCGAAAGCTTTGAGCAAACATTAAAAAATCACAGCATTAGCTGTGAAAGTATAACTATGTGTATAATTAATTTAATTTAGGGTGTATAGTATTATGAATTAAAAATAAGTATATGTTAAAGCCGCAATTTGTGATAGGATTTTTTACTGATATAGCTTTTAATCGTGGCGGATTTCTAAAAGCCAACAAAATAGTTTTAAGAATTAAAGAATTAAATTTTTTGTCTATAATAATTCATTCTTTGTTTTACATTTTGTACCACTCGTATGGCATTAAGAGACAAATAGAAAAAAAATAAAATTTGAAACGAAGTGTAAATAATTTATATTAAATAATGTTTCATTTATGTTCTTATTGAATATAAACCCATCTTATTCTTAATCATATATATTACTTATAATATAATGTAACTCACACCAACATTATGAGTTAACATCATTTTTGAGATGAAAGCTTAGTGTTTACTGTACATTATACATATACATATATATATATATTTACATTCTCAAGCAACTGTAGGATAGTCTTATATGTAGCGACAAGTAATATTTATACGTATTTACATTCTAATTTTAATTTTGTTAAAATATTTACATTTAAAATGTATAAATCAAATTAATTTGTGATTTTTCGATTTGTCAATTGAGAAGTAATATATTGGTATTCTAATACAAAAATTCAGAATGTTAAACACAAAAAATAGTCGTTAATTGGAGACAATACCTAAATAGCCATTAATTGGAGACAATACCAAATTTAAAAAAAAATCGGAATTTTGAATTTAATAAGATTTAATAATGGCTGTGTAATAGTGTTAATCAGATTTTCACTTAAGATGGAATATTTCCAGCATTTTTATTTTTATTTTTTTCCCTTTTCTTTTTCCCGCCATTTCTTTTCTTTCTTCTTTTACCGACGTTGATGCTGGTCCGCTCGGTAAAAGAGGACACGAATGTAGCGTCGTATGCCCTGATCTTACCACGTCGAACTTGCTATGTATCGAAACCCAACCTTGTCCAATCCACCCTTCTTTACTTTAAAACAAATTTATTCAATAAAAAAAAAAATGAAATTCCTTTTGATATACGTTTGCAAAATGTCCACAATTTTTTATCATTGTGCAAACGAACAGTAAAACGAGTTTTAAAAAAAAAATCGATGAAAACTAAACCAAAGCACAATGTAATAAAATACATATCAAAGTTTAAATTAAAAATAATTATAACTAAGTTATAATATTTAAAGTACTTTATATATTTAAAGACAGAATACAAATGCGCTCACAGTGAATTTAATACAGATATTAACTGTCTCATGATTAACTAAACGCACGCAAACTTAAAATTAAGATGTACGCATTCCACGATGTCCCTACGAAATCCCTCGTCGTCCACCGGTGACCCAATAGTTTACTTATCAACTAATTGTACCTACAGTTCAGTTCAGATCGTGAAACGAAGAAAGGAAAGAAATTTTCACGATTTGAACTGAACTGTAGGTTGCGCAGTTCTTAGCTTGATATCGTTTCACAAACATTAAAGTTTCTCGTTTATCGTTTTACAATTTAGCGTGATAACGTTTTACAAAAACTTTAATGTTTGTAAAACGATATCAATTACCAGGTCTCACCACGAGGAGGTGACTACACACGAGACCCGCCCCGGGCCCTAATCCCAACCACCCTCCATTACATGCAAATAACTCGGCATTCTTAAGGAATGCGGAGATTTTATTCTACTTGGCCCGGATTTACGAACAAAGGAGACAGATGTTCAATAGTGCAATCTCAAACTTAAGTCTAATCCTTAACTCTAAAGCGCATGTATGAGATTGAACTATGGAACTCTGTCTCCTAAACAACGATCGCGTTAACAATCGTACAATACATACAATCATACATTACATACAGTACATACAATCATACATTACATACCATCATACATTACATACGAATGCAAATCATACAATATGTCGCAATCACTCACAACCTTTCATACTAACCACACACTCGTCTAACATGAAAGTTAGACAATAACTATACAATAATTCGCAG